AGGAATTTTTAGAATTCAGATCATACTACTAAGATTATCTGGATTACAGTTTCTTAGAAACTCCAACTGCCTCTGGATTCTTAGTGAAAAACAACTAATCATGAAGTTAAAACTGCTTTTTGATACTTGCACTGATATGCATCCTCTTGGGGCTTGTGACTCACCGATGATGCAGTACACACAAACCTAAAAAAAATAAAAACAAACCCCAGCAATGACATCATCAGCTACCACTGGGACTCATCTGCTCTGAAAGAACTGCAGTGTTTCTTACCCCCCAAAACCCCACCTGGCATTCCTAAATAAATGAGTGCTAAACTGAAAATATGGAAACGGTATACTGAAAAATATTACTTAGACATATTCTTCCAGGAGAAGAGATGTGATTTTCTGTCACTGTCGGCTGTGAAAGACTAAGACTGGCTGTGACAATCACATTTTTAACTCTCGGGGCTTTTACATATTCACAGGATTGCAATATGATCAGTCAATGCAGTTGCCGGAAATATTCTAAAATTAGTTTGGCTGTAAAATAATTCACCAAACAGAAGACAGATTTACAGGGGCACCTGACATGCCGAGGTAATTACTACAATGCAGGGCACAACAGGTTTCAGCGTGATACTGTCCCTGTTACAATCCATAAAAATTTGAGAATATTTTTGCATACGAGGCTTGTGATTTGGCCATTTTTCAAGGTATATCTGACATTAAGGATCTCGTTCCCTCCCCTGTGTACAAGCTATTTTAAACGTGTGGCAATTATACCTGTTCATTATTGGTATTTATGGACCTGATAGCTCTGAAAATAGCTTTTCAGCAGCAATGAATAAAACAAGCCCAAATGCCTTTTGCAAATGAAAGGCATTTATTAGACAGCAGGAGAGCATCAGTTGTGGTTTGTCTCCCACTGACTGGTTGTCTTTTAAGTTTCATTTGGTCCAACATCTTCGGCTACTCATGAGCTCTCCTTTGCCAGAAGGGGAATATGAATATGTAGATATTGTGTAATGTATCACTTATCCCAGAATCGTGGAATGGTTTGGGTTGGAAGGACCTCAAATATCATCTTGTTCCAACTCCCTGCCATGGGCAGGGACACCTTCCACTAGCCCAGGTTGCTCAGAGCCCCATCCAGCCTGGCCTTGGACACTTCCAGGGATAGGGCAGCCACAGCTTCTCTGGGCAACCTGTCTGGGGGCCTCCCCATCCACAGGATTCCTTCCCAATATCACATCTAACCCTGCCATTTTCTCTTGTCCTCTCCCTTGAGGGCTTTGTCCAAGTCACTCTCCAGCTCTCTTGGAGCCTCTTTAAGCCCTGGAAGGAGCTCTAAGGTCACCCCAGAGCCTTCTCTTCTACAGGTGAACACCCGCAGCTCTCCAGCCTTTCCTCACAGGAGAGGTGTCCCATCCCTCTGAGCATCTTGGTGGCCTCCTCTGGTCTTGCTCCAACTTTACGACTATTCAAGGCTACTCATACGCCTGACTTGAATGTAATTTACACAGTTTTGTTGATAAGTATTGGAAGGGGAGTAAAACGACCCTAAGCTGCCCTTCTTGGGGGCTTGGGGGGACGGGAAGGGCTGAGGGGCTGGAGCTCGGGGCCTCACCACCACGGGTGTGGGAGTGCAAGTCGGGCCCCACACAACAGGCTGGAGGGGACATTCCTGCTGAAATACCTTATGTTTAATCACAGAATCATAGAGTGGTTTGAGCTGGAAGGATCCTTGAAGATTATCTGGTTCCAACCCCCCTGCCATGGGCAGGCACACTCTCCACTATCCCAGGTTGCTCCAAGCCCCATCCAACCTGACCTTGGACACTTCCAGGGACGGAGCAGCCACAGCTCCTCTGGGCAACCTGTCCCGGGGCCTCACCACCGGCACGGGGAAAAATTTTTTCCCGATATCAAATCTAAATCTGCTCTCTTTCTTTTTTCAGTGGCCAGTTCCCCTCACGCAAAGCCGCTCCGGTGTCAAACCGCCCCCAGAGGATGCGCCCGGCCCGGGTCGGAGGCTCGGGTCGGGACAACGCTGTCCCCACGCCGTGGGACGAGCCCGGGCCCCCCCCCTCCCAACCCCGCTCACCCTCCGGGAGCCGCGGCGGCGACAGCGGCGGCGGAAGCTTCAGGGAAGCCCTGAAGGAGGCAGGGGGATTAGGTAACAGGCGATGTGCGCTCAGGTTTCCTCCGGGTTCCTGTGAGGAACCTACGCGTCTGGCTGCCTTCGCATGACTCATCACAGCGGCGCGGCTCTCGCAGATCCCGCTCCCCCCCCCCCCCCCCCCCCCCCCCCCCCCCCCCCCCCCCCCCCCCCCCCCCCCCCGCCCCCCCCCCCCCCCCCCCCCCCCCCCCCCCCCCCCCCCCCCCCCCCGCGCCGCCACCACCCCCGCGGCGTGCGCGGCCCCGCGGGCCCGGCTCGGGAGCGCGCGCGCAGGCGGCAGGCGGGAGGCGGGAGGCGGGAGGAGGCGGCGGCGGCGGGCAGGGACAGGGAGCTCTCTGCGGGCGCAGTGCTGATCCGCCGGCGGGCGGCCGGGAATGCGAAGCGATGGCCGCGGGCGGCTCGGGCAGCGGCGGCGGCGGCGGCAGCGCGGAGGAGAAGACCTACCGCCGCTTCCTCGAGCTGTTCCTGGGAGAGTTCCGCGGGCCCTTCGGGGCAGAGCCGGAGCCCGAGCCGGAGCCAGAGCCGGAGCAGGAGCCGGCGCCCCCCGCGCCCGCCGCCGACACCGCGGGCGCCGCTGACGAGGAGCCCGGGGCAGAGGGAGAAGCGGGAGCGGCAGCCGAGGCGGAGGAGGGAGAAGGCGGCGAGGGCGAAGCCGGTGAGCCTCAGCCACCCGCCCCGCCGCCGCCGCCCCCGCCGCTGCCCTCGATGCCCCGGCCGCTCTCGGAGTACATCACGGAGGAGGAGGTGGAGGGCGAGTGCCTGGACCTCTGCCTGCAGCAGCTCTACAAGTAGTGAGTGCCGGGCTGAGGGGAGCGGAGCAGGGCGCGGGGATGAGGGGACCCTCCTGTGTGGCGAGCGTGAAGGGCTGAGGGATCCCCCCACGTATGGAACTGAGGGACCCCCCAGCGTGGGAGCTGAAGGACCCCCTAATGTGGGGCTGAGGGGACCCCCCGTGTGGGGAGCGTGGGAGCTGAGGGACTCCCACGTGTGGGGCTGAAGGGACCCCGTCCTGTGTGGGGCTGAGGGAGGGAGGCGAGGGCACGGGAGGGATCCCCGAGGCAAAAAGAGTTGAGGACTTCGGCGGTGCTGAGCTCTTGGGGGTCACAGCGTCCTGCCCTGCCCGGTTGCCCCTGTCCAAAAGAATCCTCTGCCCCGTGCCCTCTCCTTCCCTCCGGCCGGGACAGGCGAAGGGAATGGACAAGGGAGAACCACTAGCATCCATCTGGAGAGCAGCTTGGTGGCGAGGGAGAGTGGTGGGGGAAATGTCTCACGCTCTGGTGCCAGAGCAGGAGGGGGGTTTGCCAGTGGTTGATTGTGCCTAGGGTTTAAATTGAAATGTTCCCCATGTGAGGGTTTGTAAATGGGGAAACCTCTACCAAGAAAAAAGGAAGGGGAAAGAGGAAGGGGACAAGGGAGGAGAGGTGGTCCATCCCCTTCACCCTTCCAAAAACCCAAAGAACACAGAGAAAGCCACACCATGTATTCACAGACCGGGGAGAAAAGAGGAGTAGAAAACCTCAGAGAGAAAGCTATCCATAATCATGGGGATTTTTCTGCCGTCAGCTGGGGAAAGCCGGCTATACTCGGTTCTGTACGGAGGCAGTTTCCAGATCTGTGCTTTCTAAAGGCTGGTGCATAAAGAGGAAACAGATGGGATCTATTCCCAGTGTGGAAAGTCTGTGGACTGAAACCTAAAGATCAGTTACCAGTGCCGTGTATTGTGCTCAGCTTCGGCTTTGAAGGCTGGAAATAGAAATGGTTGTTAGTGGCGACTCTTTAGGAAGCTTTTCAAACTGATGCCACAGGAGGAGACAAATGAAGCTGTGAAAATCCGCACAGCACACCGGGGAGCTTTCTGCCATTGAGCCGGTAATTGTAATAAGAGGTGTTACTCAGTCCCAGAAATAAATAAATAAAGAAAGAAAGAACCGGGTTTTACAACTGCATGGTCTGTTCCTATTCAGTTCTCATCTGCCCTCTGCGTTTATGGACGATAGGGACGACACAATGATAGCTGCAGAGGACAAAGCTCTCCTATTCACACACGCTCACCCTGCCACCTTTGGAAAGTCTCTGGAATACAGCAGCACATTCATGGGATGTGGTAGAGAGCAGAGAGGCAAGTCCCTTCTACCTATTTAGGACGTGTTTTGTTGGGTTATTTTTAAACAGACTTGCAAGATCAAAAGTCACATTAGTGCAAATAAAGTTTTGGACATAGAGCAGATGATTTGAAAGTATTCTTTAAAGTGTGTCTACGAAATGAATTTGAACTTGAATTCCTCCCCCACCCTCTCTCTCTCTCTCTCTCTCTCTCTCTGCCTGTCCTCATACCCCAGGACAGGCAGATTCCCCAGTTTCTGAAGCCCATGTTAATGGCTGAAATTATTAAGGAAAAAAAAAAAAAAGACATTTTGAGAGGATTCTTTTTATAGACACAGCTCTTGCCAGGTTGAGGTTGTTTGGGTTTTTTTTCAGCCTTCAGCATAAATCTTTCGATGGCCACTGAATGAAACATCTCCTGGTTTTGTTTATGGTGAAATCAATGCAGACTTCCTTCTGTAGGCAAAATACAATGTCCATTTCAAAATTAAGGGAGTGGGAGATCACGTTACAAGAAACTTGTTTTCCAAAGGCTTAAATAATTTTATCAATGTCTAGAAAATTCATTTTCAAAGAGTAGGTGAATATTTTTTAACTGAAGAGTGACAGAAATTGATTTATATCTATCTAGCTAAGATAACTGCAGAGTAATTCTTTAAAACATTTAAAATATAAACTGAATCTGATAACTTCTAAGACAAAGAGCTAAACTGAAATAGGTTTTTCTTGAATGATGGTGAAATTTGAGGTAAGTGCAAGTATGCAAAACTCTTCTTCAGGTAAGGTATAGTATTTTTAGTACCCTCTCTAGTTCACCAGAGAAACTTAAAGCTGTGACAAGACTATAAACCAGGCAAAAGTAGAATGTTTTCACCTTTCACAGCCAAGGGCTGGACTGGTCAGATGACTCCAGAGAAGGGAAACTTCCTGCATATCATTAAAGCTACTTTTATGTCAAATGGTTATGATAGTGTTAAAAACAAAAACAAACAAACAAACAAACAAAAAGCACTTGAAAACTCCTGTGAAGGGGAATATTTTATTGGTTTGTCATTAGCAAGAGGGATTATACTGTGAAGGCATTCTGTAATTCTGTAATTCTGCAACTATATATTAGTCAAATGACTGGTTTGCATTATATGTAGCATGAGGATAAAACCCATTGCTGTGAAAAATCCAACAGCTGTTTTTCAGCTATTTTAGGCACAGAGCTTTAGATCTTTTTGAGGGAAGTAAGACCATCCCAGAAATGAGATCATATTGCCAATCATGAAGAAATATAATGGTTTTGTGCCGCTGTGTATCAGGATCAAAGAGTTTTTATTTATGAGCTTTTCCTGCTCTTTTCCAAAAGACTCATATTCCCCTTTGAGATTTCCAGTTCCTGTTTTTTTTTTTTTTTTTTTTTTTTTTTTTTTTTTTTTTTTTTTTTTTTTTTTTTTTTTTTTTTTTTTTTTTTTTTTTTTTTTTTTTGTTCTAGAGATAACATATGCTTGGAAAATTAGATTAATGTAAACTTTATATCTGCCTAAATGTGCCAAAAATGTGTCCCTTGTGCTTTCCTAGTGACCCTCCACAGAATAAACTCACCAATAGGAGGTACAGCAGATGAAGAAAATAGTCAAAAAAGAAGAGTATTTGAGGAATTTTAGTGGAACACTGACTGATAGCCTGAAAGTTCAATTTGTGTTTGTCTTCTATAACATCTTATTCAAGATAAAAATGTGTGATGTACATAGGTTCTGTGGAGAGACAAATATACCAAGCCCTTAATCTGTGACACGAGACCCCCTCGCTTCATCTGATCCAGGAGTAGAACCTCATTTCTGACTTATTTTAAAGGAAGAAGTTACAAACCTGATGTAACAAAGTTGCATATCACGCTCTGTCCTCTTCCTCCTGATACTTTTATTAAATCTAATGCATTTTAAAAGCTGGTTCTTGCCCAGACATCTGAAAAACCAATCAACAAAGTTGGGGTTGCCAGGAGAGGACAGGGCCAGACTCTCAGAAGTTGTGTCAGTAGGAAGAACAATTTTATCTTGCTGTGGCATGTTTTTTGCTCTAGAAATGAAAAAAAATTGAAAAATTCAACCGCATATTGTTCTTTTTCTCTCTTTTTTTTTTAAACCCAGGTTGGTATCATTTGTAGGTTCAGGTTTAGTTTCAGTGGCTTTGGTGATACGATGGGTTGCTTTCAAATATTTGTTTAGAACCATTTTGAACAAGCTTAGAAAGTAGATTTATTTCTCTAGTGCTGAGATTTTCAAAAGATGATAAATAAAATAAAACTAAAATTAATTGTTATGCCACCTTAAGTGCTCGACTAAGGCACTGATGACAACATGGATGTTCTGAGGATTGCAGATATCTTGCTCTGACTTGGAACATCAAAAGGAAAACTTCCAAGCACTGCCCCTTTAGATTTCTTCACAGAATGCTATGCAACATTCACAGAATATCTCAGAGTCTAAAAAAATTTAGTATTTGAAGGGAGATTTTTTAATTGATACTTCCTTTGTATTAAAGAAAGAAAATATTTTTGTTTAGGTTTGTATCTTTCCCACAGTCTTGCTATGAAAAATCAAGAGAGGCAACACAGGCTCAGCCTTTTAACACTGGAATTATGTAAAAATGTGGACGGTATTGAAAGTTACACCCCTCAACTCGCAATTTTAAGCTAAAGAGGAGAACTTCTCATGGTAATTTTCCATGAGCAGAAATCCTTTTTTTAAATAAAGCAAGCTCTTAACTTGCAAACAGCGTGTTCTGTCTGCTGTCCATCACTGCTGAGTGAAGAGATGAAATTCTCTCCCTTTAAAAAGCAGATGTACATGTTTTTGACTTGCTTTCTTAACCCCTGTCCTATGAAAGCTGGCACTGTTGTTGCTTTCTCCAAGTTTAAATTTGTAGATGATTCTAGATTGGCTTTCTCAGGCTCATAATTAAGAGGCTCTGATGTTTTACTCCTTTATAATTTGCCTTTTATCACCTGTTCCATTGATTGCAATCTCAAAGCCCTTTTAGGAAATATAATTAACTGCTTGCCATCTCTAATATTCATCACAAGGACCAACAAAAAAGAAATACCATCCTTTTTAAGGTGGGCTTTTTTTCATCATCTTTTGTGAGGTTTTGCAGTGGAAATGATAATGTTGGCCTGTGCCCACAGTGAGTGACAGGAGTGGATGCTGATTGCATCTGTTGGGGGCATTTTCTAATGGTTAATGAGACTGGACAGAGAACACTAAACTTAGATTCAATATTAGGAATATTAAGTCTAATCTAGGTTTAGATTGGGATATTGGGAAGAAATTCTTCCCCGTGAGGGGGGTGAGGTGCTGGAACAGAATTCCCAGAGAAACTGTGGCTGTCCCATCTCTAGAAGTGTTCAAGGTCAAGCTGGACAGAGCTTGGAGCAACCTGGGCTAGTGGAAGGTGCCCCTGCCCATGGCAGGAGGTGGGATGAGATGAGATGAGATGAGATGAGCTTTAAGGTCCCTTCCAACTCCAACCAGTCTGGGATTTCCCCCAGCCAGTTGTAGGTGTGTGAAGGTCTCACAGGAGCCCCCTCCCAGCTCAGGAATCTCTTCTGAGGGTCATTGTGGGGCTGGCTGTTGATGCTCATGTCAGACCCAAGGGATTTGGGTGTCAGACCCAAGAGATTTGGGTGTTTCTCTGCAAAGACATTCACAATCATCTCATGGGAGTGTGTGCAGAAAGTCAGGTATTGCTGTTAGTGCCTTTTTACTCCTTAAAAGAGCCTGCTATGGAACTCCAACCATCTGCTGGAGGTTGGTGACGTCCTGGCCATACAAAGGGGCACATTTCATCCCCTTCAGCCTGGAAATCATTATAATCTACAAATAGGTGGTGTTTAGAAATAAACATTTTTAAAACACGACTAATGCTCTGCGCAGGGAGAGATTCTCCACGTTGCCTTTGAGACACATCCAGTTCACGCTCCCACGCTTTTAAAAACACTGAAGTAAATCAAATATTTTGATACTCATTTTTTTTTTAAAAAAAGGACATCGGCTGAAACGAGCTATTTAGGTTGCAGATTTACATTTTGTAATGGTTAACATGTATGGTGACATTTCAAATCTTACTACTTTGTGATTAGAAGGATGCTGAGTTTTTCAGGCACGAGGGTGACTGTGCTTGGAAGTTGCTTTATATAGCATTGAAAAAATCATTCTTAGTGAACAGATTATGGAAATAGATTCATTCCTGTGCTTTTATTTCAGTGAATGTTGCTAGTAGTACAACACATTGAAGGGAATTAATTTTGTTAGCAGCTTTTCACACCAGGATTGAGGTGTGGGGTTTTTTTTGACCCAAGAGCAATTTGCACAGATTCTGCTACTCCTTCAGCAAACTGATTGAAAAATTAGATCTGTGCTAACACCTCCTTCTTTTTTTGGACCTTCTACAACCACTGATAAAACTGAAATCTTATTTGCCACCAGGTGAAACTGCTTTTGACTCTGCCTTTTGGATGTGATGAGCATCATTCCTTGGGAGGGTTTGTGTAGTAATTCTGTTTTACACAAAACACTCGGCACAGAATATTTTTATCCTTAAAATTCCTCACTGTAATTGCCTTTGACAATGGCAGAGGATTTCTCCACCCGTTCTTTGAAGAAAAGCTAATCCATTTAGTTGTGGTTCTTTTCACAGGAGGTTTAAAAATATATTTTTCTGGATGCCAAGGTTAAACTTTTAGTTTGTTTTGCAGTGTGTGAGTAGAAGTTTCAGTGCCTCAACACTGGTGTACACTCATTCATTTTTGTTGTCTTGCTAAATTGCTTACATGATCACATTAAAAGCAAAAGCAACAGGGCATGTAGTACACAGATAATGAGAATATTATTTATTCCTATATTTGCTGTCATATTCTCGGGCTGTTCTGCACCATTTTTCTCTCTTCACATCATTTGGTTTGTGCTCTTTTTTTTTTTTTTGGTTCGTTTTCCTCCTTGGGAATATTCTCTCTATCTAGGAAAGACACGTGAAAAATGGGATGAAATGGAGTTAGTGGCTTAAAACATGAGATGCTCTTTGAAGCATGCTGCAAGACTGACTTATGCAATGCAACCACGATTACATAATGCAAATGACTGTAAAAATAAATGTATCCTGGACAATATGTGTAATGTTGGTAACCAGTGGCACTCCACTAAACTGTAAATGGTCACTGCTACACGTTGTGCTGCAGGGCCTCATGTTTGGCTTGGCTGAAAACGAAATCACTAAACAAATACTCCAGATTTTTGTTGTTACACTGCACTCGTGATGAGATAAAATGATTGCAGATCGTGGACTCGTTTTACAGCAACATTTCTGCCCTGCCTTTGTACTTCATTAGGAAGAAACAACATTACCCGCCTTTAATAAGACATTCTCTAAAGAAGTAATCATCGGAGTCATAAATTAGGAGTGTGTGGGAAGCAGCTGCCCTTGGGTACTTCTATAATTAATACAGAAGTTAAACAAGTTAACTAGATTGCAGGATTACCTCCGTTTGTGTTTATATTGGATGGAAAACAGCTAAGGGCAACTGCTGATTGAGTAACCGAACCAAGGAGGGGAGCTGTGGTGCTGCTCCCAGCCCTGAACTCTGCCTGAGCTCTGGTGAGCAGTTGGATGGGTTTTTTGGTTTTTAGTTTGGTTTTTTTGTTTGTTTGGCGGTTGTTGTGTTTTTTCCCCAAAATTCCAAAGCTGACTGCTAAACTTTGCTCGTGG